GAGCAGATCGAAGGAGTGGGATTGCAAGGCTGTGGGGCAGGAGGAGAACAAGGTTGTATCTTAAATGTGTCGATTTTTGATTGAAAGGAATGAAAGAAAGGAGTTGCATTTTGCAGTGGTGAAAGACTTGGGAGGTATTGTCCACTGGCTTGAGGAGTTTATTTACTGTAGAAAACAGGGAGCCTGTGGGGGCTTGGTGGAGCCAGCTTATGAGGAGAGTAGTTAGGTGACGGTGGTGTGAGGCAAATGCTGGTACTGGGCTGGAGGTAACTGTAAAAAGTTTGGAGATGAACAGTTAACTATTATAATTAATTATTATTATTATTATTATTATATTATTATAATGAATAATTATTTTGTTTTGGTTGTCAATCTAGGAACAAAATTACGTAAACATGAGACGCAGTCTGGCCCTTTGTGCCCTCCCGGTGTACCTAAAAGAGGATGACTGAGTTCTCCACAGTTCCACAGTTCTTGTTTCATGCAAATCTGTTCATGTAAGTGTATTTGAATCCAATATGAGTGTTCAGCTGTCTGAGTTAGAAGCATTATGTTGACATTGTTAATGATGCATGACTTTAAACCTTTCCACTGGAATTATCCTCTTAATTGGATTGTTTGTATTTTTGCAGCAAGAAGATGAGCCAGACATTGCTGACACTCCTGTGGGTCTTACTGTGGTCACTGACAACACAACCCATTTCAGCCCCAAGAGCATTTCTGTTGTCATCGAAGATGAAATTGTTGTGAGTGATCTCCCTAGGTTGACTGATGCACTGCTGTTTGGCTTGATCTATGCTTTGCATTTAGACTATCCAAAGAAACTCATTCACACGTTTACCTTTGTTCATAAAATACTGATGTGTCTTGATGACAGCAAACCACTAAAACCATGCCTACTGAATCTTAAAAAATGATTTGTTGAAAGAAGTTTGAATGCACACATGTATAAACAGTCCATCCCTGCATGTGCTTCACTCAAATCTGTAACATAGTTTTAACTCAAAGGTGGCTTCAGATGGTTACAGTGTTAGAAACTTACTTCAAGACTGTCTGTTCATATACTAAGTATATGAAGAGTATGTTAACTACAAGCTTATAGACATATTCGAATCATAGCCTTTTGCTCAGTGTTTCTTTGTATTTTGTTACAGTGCCTTGTCTACCTCACCTGTCATTTTGCATTCTTTGTGATTGTTTATCTTAAAGGGTGACTTATTTTCCTTGTTTTTCATGGTTTTGTGTCAAAGTCATTATTGGGGGCAACAAGTTTTGAAATTGGTCCATTATTGATTGAGAGTGCTGCAGCCTGCAGCTGCAAATTTGGCTACAATGGAAACTTTGTATGCAATTGTGTGCTGTCAACCTACTTCCACTAAAAGTTCATGTTTTCTGGCTCAGATTTTTTATAAGTCTCTCACAACATTATGAAAATGACCCTACAAATTTTTTTTTTTTTTCTTATTTCACTTAATCTGTTCTATGAAATCTCCAGAGGGTCACAGCACCCACAGGATCACCAGTTTCCAGAGTTCTGCAGCCTTGCAGCAGCTGGTTCACCCTCACCCAGAGATAACATTTCATTTCTCTGTAGAATCGTGTTGTCAGACACTTAAAATGAAAATCTGAGCCTGACAGGCAAAACAAGCACTTTTAATGGACATATGGACACAAGGAATACATTGTAGCCCATTTCATGGCTGCAGCGCTCTGACTTAGTGCTTCAAAATCTGTTGTCACTATTAGTCACTTTGACACAAAAACATGTGATTGAAAAATATCCTTTAAACAATCCTAATTGGGGATCTTTAATTTTCATTCCTTTAAAGTTGAATATCTCTTATCTTTTTTATGTATTACTTTTAGTAATTGTGCTGCTAATATAATACAATGATGCATTGTCACTTTTTCAGAAAAAACTAAATACAGTGGAGGTAGTGAGATTAAAGTTTAGACTTTGCTGTTAAGTTTTTAGAGAACTGTTCAGGAATCAGTGTTCTTAACTCCTGCTTTTAAAATAAATCAGGCTGTGACATTTTGTTTTATTTTCTCATCTTAATGGCATTGCTAGAGATTTGGGCTACAACTAATAGTTTTTATGGTTGTTTGGTCTATAAAATGTTGGGAAATGAAAAGGCTTATTACATTTTTCTAAAGCCCTAAGTGCCTTACCAGTTTGATGTTTGAAATAAGTTTCAGTGTCACATAAGTTAATGTACATTGTGACGTTGTTACATAGATCAAATACATTGATACGACAGATGTTTCAAGTTTGTTTTATAATTAAAAAAACTTGAATTGTAATAATGTTTGTAATAGAGTTTTATTTGTATTTGTGTATAAGTGTTTGTGTACATTTTAAGTTGACTAGTAGTTTGTAGACTTCAATGTGTTTGAGTTTAATACGGTTACATTTTTTGCTCTAGGTGGGTGGTCGTCTGCCTCGACCAGTTGGGGTGGGGTCATGACAGTGGTGCCTTCTGGTCTCATTCAAAATAATGAGAGGGCTGGTTTTTAAATGTAAATCTAGAGCTGGTCTGAATGGGGTCTAACAAGATTGTTAATGCATTTGTTGCCCCAGGGGGCAGTTAAAACTACATATTTTGTGGTTTATTAGGGGACTTAATGCAATAAAAAGTGCTGTTGTGACATCTCTTACAGTAAAAACACATGAGACCGTGTGTACATATATGTAACTTTTCAACATGTAGTTTTGGAATATTTTTGTGGTGTAATGTGTCAAGCCTATGTACATTCCCATGTGAAACCTATGTGATTGTGTTGCAACATGTGGTGCAACATGTGGTGCCATGATTTCCTGTGATCACATATGGTATTTTTTTTATTTTTCTGTGGTGACAGTGAGTGCTCCTTCACCTGAGGTTTTTCATCTAATCTGTTCACTTTGAGCATGTATAAAATACATAAGGCTTCAAAACAACACACAGGCCTTTTTCCCAGCAGACATTTTGACTTGACTCAGAAGCACAGGTGTTCCTTCTAACATTATTGATTGCTCTGTATTCAAGTGTGACATTAATTTAGCATTCACAACACAAGGACCCTGAAACTGAAGCAGCTAATTGATTTTATTATTTAACACTCTTTCCTGTTTCATTTTTACACAGGTCATAGTTGTTGTTTTTTGATACAGGAAGGTGTTGCGTGTTGTTTTAAATGTCTGTAAGTGCATTTAAGTGTTTCAGTCCCACAGCTTTTTGAGTTAAAATATTTTTATGTTATGGATTTTCCAAGCAAATATTGATATACGTGATTGTGATTAAATCTGCATATATTTCTGCCACCCATTAAAGTCTGCATGCCACCTTCTGGACACACATGAATATTTCTCTAGATCTGCCCATGTTTAGTGCTGCTAAGTTGGGTAATACCAGTTCAATAGGGAAATGAGAGAGATGTGGAGCAGTCAGACATTGCTGTACAGACCATCATAAATATGCATAATATGAGAATAATATAGACATACGATAACCAGGTTTGTTATGTTTCATATTATTTTCCTGCTTACTCGTGTTGCTCGAGTGCTCAGACAGGTGCCTTTAAATAAAATGTATTTATTATTATTAAAAGTAAAAGGTTGTAAGAAAACTAAATACTCAAGTAAATTCAAGTGCCTTGAAGAGATACCTAAAAAAAATTTACTTAAGTACAGTAACAAAATATCGTTTTAACTATAAAAGATTATAATGAAAAGATCAAGGAAGAGAAGCCTGGCCTAATACAAAATGTCCAGAAACAGCACTGTATGTACAGAAGGGTTTGTGGAAAATGCAAAATGGAGTCTTATTTTATTCATTATGACCTATTCTTAAACCTCATATTCCTCCACACACCAGTAATAGCTCCTGGTATCCCTGACCAGTCTGTCCTCAGCTTCAGAGTTTTGCAACTCTCTTGTTGTGCAAGCCCGAGAGAAAAATCTGGAAGGGAAACATCCGAGAATAGCGCAGCACAGCCATCTGAGACTGTTACATAAGTGTAATGCAATCACCACTGATCCAACTCAGAGATATTAAAGCCCATTGGCCTGCCGACACACAGACACACTGGCCACGCACAGTCGATGACTTGTCCTTCTCACTGATGATCAGAAAAGATAATTTTCTCTCTGATTACGCCAGCATCCCTCTTCCAGACTATTTTTTCAGCCTTACCAGAAATGGTTGAATACTTCCTTGTAACAGCAATGCTAGGAAGCCAGCATTCTGTTCTTTCCAGCTCTTATTTCTCATTTTGTTTTCTCAAGCAACAATGCAGCTATTGTCGCTGACAGTTTCTTGCCATTCCTGTTGTCAGGTGGCTGAACCACTATTAAATAGAGATTAGAGCAAGGGTTAAAAAGTTATCTTAAATCTTGTTAGCAGATAGCATTTCAGATCTGGATGTGATCACTGTTTTACACCCATGCATTTGTTTAAGAATGTAAGATACAGTATGTCATTGACTACAGCGGAATTGTGTGTTTGGTTATATTGAAATAAACAGATAAACTAATACAAATCTTTGATGTTTAAGGTGGAACTGCTTTATTGTGTGTTTTTAACGGTTTTAATTAGCGAGTTCCAGTTTGTTTTGGAGAGGAGACCTCTGTGGATAATTGGGCTTTAAGTATTCCAATATATAATGACTACAATACATTATACTATGATGGCGTATGGCTTGGGTATCTTCATCAATAAAAATGTATCATATTCTATCAGCCGACCATATGTAAAATCTGAAGTAAAAGTAATTTACTCAATGTAGTGGACATAAAGTACAATATTGTAGTGTGGACTAGAAGTATAACTACTCAAAGAAAGCATCTCAAAATTGTATTCACTAAAGTCTACTAAACTACAAACAACACATGAAGCAGACGTCAGACCTCCAGCAGTTTAAGCTCCTTAACTGCTCTGTTGACAGCTTGCCCAGTTCTTGTTATTGTGATACACCTGGGGCGTGGGTGGCAAGGAGTACAAATATGCTCAGGCTTTCTGGGATTCTGTGAGGCCTTGATTAACTGAGAGTGCAGGTTTTTTTTTATAAATTCTGTTAATCCCTGGGAGAGTCAATGACCCTGCTTGCTTTCAGCAAAGGCCTGTCCAACATTTACAGTTGCATTTAGTGTCTGAAATTAGCTTTTTGGGTCAACTTCTATCTGTGAGAATAAAGTCATTGCCAGAATTAGGCACCACAGTCTTATACTACAGTATATGTTTAGTATTGTGTCATGTCAGTGGGACATGGCATACAAATCAAATCTAGAATTGACAGAAAATGGAATTGAATGGTGCACCAGTAGAAAAAATATGAACTAAGTATATCAAAATAACAAATATACTGTAACTTTTTACACTGTCACTCTAGATTTTAATATAATTCTTGTATTCATGTCATTGCAGGTATGTGCACTTTATACAGTGGCTCAACAAGTTTTATTTTTATATCCTGGTTACCTGTATTATACCTGTGGAATTTTCTTGTAAACAAACAAAAGTTATGTTTACATTCAGTGTCATTCACCTAAACTAATTGTGTGTCAAACTATGACAAAAGTGTTAAAAAGCTTTTCTTTCCGCATAAAACATTTGCAAAGATTTATCAAATCCAGCATTGTTTATGTCCATGTTATATAGCTAGAAGTCTGTTTCTTCCCTCTCTTTGTCAGTGCATTGCTGCACATGTTGGTATGTTACCACCACCTGTAGATCAGTGTAATAGTATTAAACCATTGGCAGGAATGTGTATGCGTCACCCATGTGTGCGTGCCCATGTAGGTTGAGATAAACAAAACGGGGAGCTC